ATTTGGATGGTCGGTGTTATGCCCGAGATTGGGAGTACAATATTATACGTGTGCAGATTAGCTTCGGGTATGCACAAGTTACACACAGATGTTTATTAGGGATTCAAATTTAACGTTATAATGATAGTCAGTTATTAAGGAGAGTAGTTTAGATGGAAAGTAAGTTATTACTTTATTTATTATACAAAATGCAGGATGATATATCTTCTCTTTTCAAACTCTCACTAGCAGCAATCTATCCTGTCTGAGGGTTATTCACCTCTTGCTGAGGGTTAAAACCACCCAACTAAGCCTCTACTATACATGCCCGAGTCTTTATCAAATGGCAATTATGACACTAACTTAATAAAGAAATTTTATCATAATATCGGATTCTGAATCGGGAGGATTCCTGTTTGGGTACGACAAATACATAATCACATAAATTTGTTTGAATTTAACGTTTTTTAGTAACGTTTTTTAGTGATGATCTTGACAATGATTTAACTTTTTTGCATTATTCTAACCGAATCTATTTTATTACTTTATTATTTTATATATGTGTTCGACTTTTCGATTTTGTCGTTATAAATTAAAGCTTGAATTTATGTTATGCGCGTTTATATACGAATTTTAGAGTGGATTCTTGTATACGAAAACCACTGCTTCTCAAAGGTTGAAGCGAAACCAAAGTTGTAAATTCTCAAAATTTTGAATATATTAATATCGATAACCTCGAATATTCAGCAATTTATACTTGTCGCCTAAATTGTTTTAAAAAAGGCAATTTCGAAAAAAAACAAATTTCGGCTTTGCTGTACTTTTATGAACTTCTTAAAATAATTATGTATATTAATTTTTACAAACTAAATATCATCATAGTTATTACGTGAGGAAGACAACTATGTACACAATCATAAATTAGTTGTTTCAGAGCTAAAATAACCGTAATTGTCCTAGATATTAAACGACAGTAACGTAATTGACCAAAACTTTGGTATATTAAAGCGTTTTTTTAAATTGAAATTATTAAACCGAGTTAAACAGTTATCATAGAAATCATAGAACGTATACGTAACTGATAATTTTGGATACTTATTGGAACATTTCGAATTTCAGCTTCGCCGAAGGTCTACTTTTAGTTGACAACATTAATTTATTAATTAATAATACGATGCTGGTGCAAAAATATTAAATTGCGTCTTAACATTATGTTTCGTTTACTACAATCATAATCTGGTGTATCATATTATCAAAATCGTCTTAGCCAATTTTTCATATACAACTTTTATTTAAATAATTCTACTTTTAGAACTTCATTGTTGTCACTATTAGCGATAAAGCAATAATTAGGAAAATGTGCATCGTTAATGTAGGAGAATTGTTTTGTTTAATAATACGTATCTTGCATCGTCCCACTATATGTACAGTAGTATCATGTACTGTGATTTCATATACCGGATATATCATGACCAGTGATTACTTTTCGCTGTGTGTAGCACACGAAAACGAAATTATAAGCACTTTTTTTTGGATAAGAATGGTCGTTCATATATCTTTTCTGCACAGAAAAAGTTTATAAATTGTGCAGTATTTACACAGTAAATTTTAATTGAAAATTAATAATGTATACTATGGTCTAATGCAATAATAATCACAGATCAATCATAAAAATTTTCAGGCATGCGAGATCATTTACGTGTGCACGGAAACAAATGCATAAAGAAGTTTTAGATATACTGAAAAAATTTTATCGTGTCCAGAACCCCAGCTGAAATGCATTAGAATGTCGGTTGAACACATTTTTTTGCTACTGCTACATATCTTTTATAGAACATCCCCTGCTTCGTTCCAGACGAAAATAAATATTCCTATTTTATTATTTACCACCATAGAACGTAATACCTTTGCTCCGACAATAAAACTTAAAAAAGACTTGTTTATAGCTTTTAATATCAAAATGCACAATGATAAATTTGGAAAACATTTAATTTTTTTATACAATTTCGTGATTGGTTCTTACAATGAAATTAATCTCCTTATTGGTTTATTATCATGTGATTTTACTCTCCCAAGTTTGGGCATGAGGTTTCGGGGATTCGGTGTTTCGCATTTGTTTTTTTAGAAAAATTTGGAAAGATCTGCATGATCTACACTATTTATTATTTCCGAATATTAGTTTTTTTAGTATGTGATTTACTACCCAACGTAACCCGCACATATTGTTCTCGCCAATTTGAAACATCTTGATAATGCATGAATTATAATAACTTTAAAAAAAAAACTATCGTTCTTGATCTCCTCTTTATCTCCTTATAAGGAATACAATAAAGTATTATGTCAGAAATAGTACATCAAGAATAGAATTCTGCAAAAAAAAAAAACATGCATCTTAGAGATACAGAAAAAACGTTTGAATAATCAGAATATTCGAGATTATTTAAACAAATTTTCACCTTTTTTTTTTTTTTCTTATTTCTTTATTTCTTAATAATAAACAACCCTTTACATTATTGTAAAGTGATTGATTGGCTTTAAGAAAAAAAAATGAAGGAAAAATTTAATATCCAAAGATCGAACACATCGAAAGTAAGAATAAATCATATGACACTTAAAGTATTTTATTTGACAACAAAATCATGAAATGCAACTCACTAAACGAACATATATCTCTTTTATCAGATAATAAATAATAATTATAATGGAACAGTTTCCAACTCTAACACTGAAAAACTTGATTATTCAAAGAGAGCCATTAGCCGGGCTAATGATTTAATGAAAGATTTCAGCGAACCATCCAATTTATTTGGATTTAAACTTTTGGTCGAAGATCCTACGTTAAAGTTTCCTGCAAAACTATTGATCAACGCACTTAAACTACTAAGTGATATCTCTTTATTTGATTATTATACTGAAGATATTATTGCACATTTCGAATTACATCTTCGCACTTGGGTGGCAACTCTTGAAAAAGTCATATTTTCGTCTATTGTTTTGAATCAGGAATTTTATGACAAACTTTATAGTAGCTTAGTTAGCTTCATTGATATTCATTATCATATAACTCTATTTTTTAAGCAACAAGTCAATCTCGATAACGCTGGTGACGATTATTCAAATTTTCAAAATTATAACATTAATTTCTTATTAATCCATTTACGTGACTGTTTACACAGTATACGCAAAAATGAAACTAGTTCTGATGAATTTTTACGTTGCGGAAAAGATTTTCTTTTAAAACTCATTCGTATTCCACCAAACGCTAATGGTGATGCTTCCGAAAATATTCTGGAAATATTTGGAGGTTCACCTGTCTCCGAAACTTTACCAAAGCTTAACGGTTTTTTAAATTTCAAACATTCCATCCCTAAATGGTATCAAAAATGGCGAGAGTTCTTATTTATCCATTATTTATTAGAAGATTTGATTAGAGATTCAAATCATAATATTCTACAATGTCACAATAACGCTTATATTTTGGAGTTTTTTTGGCAATATATTTTTGATCCCGATCTTGATCAATCCGAGTTAGAAGAAGACGTTACAGAAATTTTATGCAGTCAAGAGGATTTCTCTAGTCTTTTCATTGAGTATAGACTCACTGACTTACCTTATTTCTTATGGTTTGGCATATTAGACTTTGCTCAAAATCTATGTCATAAAATTTCACAACCGTCCATCTTAACGTTTTTTTATCACCTGGGTTTAGAAATATTTAAAAAATCTCAGTTCGAATATCTTCAATTCAAATCTTTGGAATTACTTTTATATTTATCTTATAAAGAACCAGAATGGTTCGAGAATTTGGTTCTTAAAGAAATCAATAAATATTCTGATTCATTATCAAAAGATTCTTTGCAAAAATTTAAGGATCTTGTCGATAATGTACATTTAAAACTTCAACTTGACAGCAAATTTATTAAAACTTTAATTCCACCAAAACACAAAGAATCCTGGCTCTTTAAGGAAAAATTATCGGCAAATAAAAGTGACACTCTGTTTAAAGAAGTCTTTATAGAACAATTAACATGCCCAATTACCGGTGATGTAACTAGCGATTTTCTTATTTTAGGATGTGATCATTTGATTAGTTATAATGCTATAAGGATGCAGAAAATTATACTTTCGATAGAAAATAAAAGTTTAAAATGCCCTTTTTGTAAAACTGAAATCGAACTAGAATCGGTATATAAACTTTCAAGAAATGCAACATTTAAAGGACTTTGCAAAACATTAGAACAAACTGGAGATTTAAATACTTTAATGGAAAAACAACAACTAAAAGTAGAATCGAAAATATCATCATCAAAAATTGCACTTTCGACTTTCAATCGAGCAATTAAAGCCTTGCAACAACATGAATATTCAACAGCAATAATTTGGTTAACTCGACTTTTACATTTTTATCCAAAAAGTTATTCTATTCGATGTAAGAGGGCATTCGCATTTTGGAAAACTGAAATGTATTCACAAGCTTTGGGTGATCTCATGATAGCAATTCAATTAAAACCAACAAAATCTCTTGCGTATATTTACAGATGTCACATATATCTTTTTTATGAAAAAAATGTTGACGCATTAAAAGATGTAGAGACAACTCTAAGAATCGATCCTGAAAATATAAATGCTCTTTTATATAAAGCAAAAATATATTCCAACAAAAAGAAATTTAATGAGGCACGATTTGAAATTAAAGAAGTAATAAATAAAATTAATTTCCCTCATCCAATCGTATCAAATTTATTCGACAAGTTTAATAGGCCACATAAAATGATTTTTGGATTAGGAAATTCTTTACCTATTCCACTTTATAATATGGATCACGCTACGATATCTGGATACGTTTTATTACAATCCTGTAATGACAAAGAATTAGTAATGTCATGTTGTGTTCAAGCTATTAATCATGATGAAAAAAATATAATCGCTATTGGGATCAAAGGTATATTATATCATCTGATGGGATCCTTCGGTAAAGCTTTAATTAGTTTTCAAGAAGTTTTAGAGATATATCCAAGCCCGATTGCTTTAGACTGTTATGAAAAAACCTATCAAATGCTTCAAATTTATGATCATAAATGGCTTAAACATTTAAATAAGGTAGTTCGATTAAGTTTAAATCAAACAAATAGTTTTAATTCACATCAAAATGAATTACAAGATGAATTACAAAATGAATTAAAAATAATTAAAGATCAAGATGAACATTTTGTACGACTTAATGTAATGTTAGATACTAATCCTAATAATGCATTAGCATTAGAAACTCGTGGATTAATTTATTTTGGATTAGGTAGATTTACGGATGCACTTTCGGATTTAAATAGATTAATGGAAGTTAAATCTAATAACGCATTTACGTTAAGATATCGAGGGGCTGTTTTTTATATGATGGGTAGATTTAAAGAATCTCTTTCAAATTTAAATAGATCATTGGATCTTGAACCAGATAACGCTTTCGCATTAAGAAATCGAGGTGCTGCTTTTCGTATGTTGAATGGGTATGCAAGAGCACTTAGAGATTTAAATGAATCATTAGCAATTGAACCAAATAATGCTTTTGCATTGATGAATCGTGGGGCAACATATCGGTTAATGAGTAGATATGAAGAAGCTCTTAGGGATTTAAATAAATCATTAAGATTAGAACCAGGTGATGCGTTTGCTTTAAGAAATCGTGGTGCGGTTTATTGTATGTTAGATAGATATGAAGAATCACTTGCCGATTTAAATGAATCAATAAGAATAGATCCAAATAATGCTTTTGCTTTAAATAATCGTGGTGCGACTTATCGACTTTTAAATAGATACGAGGAATCACTTGCTGATTTAAATAAATCATTAAAATTGGAATTAAATGATGTATGGACATTAAGTGATCGTGGTGCAACTTATCGTTTAATGAATAGATATAATGAAGCTCTTGCTGATTTAAATAAATCATTAGAGATTAATCCAAATAATGCATGGACATTAAGCGTTCGTGGAGACACGTATCGCATGTTAGAAAGATATGATGAATCTTTGGCAGATTTAAATAAATCATTACAACTTGATCCAAATAATGCTGATACATTAAAATTCCGTGGTGAAACTTACTGTAAATTAGGAAGATATAAAGAAGCACTTGAAGATTTAAATATATCATTAGAAATTGATCCAAATAACGCATTTGCTTTAAAAGTTCGTGGTGCAACTTTTCGACTTATGAATAGATATAGAAGTGCTCTTGTAGATTTAAACAAATCATTAAGAATCGAACCTAATAATTCTGATGCATTAAAATTTCGTGGTGAAGTTTATTGCAAGTTAGGAAGATATGAAGAATCTCTTGAAGATTTAAATAAAGTATTAGAAAGTGAACCAAATAATGTATTTGCTTTAAATAATCGTGGAATAGCTTATAAATCAATAAATAAATTTGATGAAGCTCTCGCTGATTTAAATAAATCATTCGAAATCGAACCAAATAATGCCGATACATTAAAATTTCGGGGTGAAGTTTATTGTAAGTTAGGAAAATATAAAGAAGCCCTTGTTGATTCAAATCGTTCATTGGAAATCGAACCAGATGATGCTTTTGCGTTAAAAGTTCGCGGTGCAACTTACCATATGTTGGATAGATATGAAGAATCGCTTGCCGATTTAACCAGATCATTGGAGCTTGAACCAGATGATCCGTTTGCATTAAGAAATCGTGGTGCAACTTATCGTATGTTAAGTAGATACGAAGAAGCACTTATAGACTTGGATAAGTCATTAGAACAAGAACCTGATAATGCATTTGCGATAATGAATCATGGTGCAATTTTTTATTGACGGATTAAAATAAATAGCTATATGAGGTTGTTTGAGATGGTTTTTTTTTTAAATTTTAAAATATAAGCTTTGTTATATGAAATGCTTGTAGGATTAATTTTGAACCTACCTGGAACATTGTATTTTAATTAAAATTGTAAACCAAAATTGGTTATCCAATACTTGTATAAAATAATAATTTTAATAAAAAATTTTTTAAAAAATTTTATTTTTTTTTTATTTAATGAATAATAAAAAAAATAGTTCATGATTTTCATGTCAATCTTTCTTTTAAATTATCATGTCATTGACATAAAAAAATTGTTTTTTTTATTGCGAAATAAAATTTTGTTACAATTCTTGTTAAAAACATATTAAGCATTTTATAAGGAATCCAAGATTTTGTCAGATATATCACATTTTAAAAACGGCTTAGCATAACTATACTATACAAGAAATTGGAAGCCAAACGTTCTACTAGCTGACCAAAATTAATGCTCATTTGTATCTTCATATATATTTAACCGTAGACTCTCGTAATTGCAGATCGCATTAAATCCTCTTTACCGCATACTATCGATATAATCAATATACTCTTTATTGGACTAATCGGTTACATTACGCATCCTTCTATACTGTGATTGGGGTCTAATCTCACAAAGAGATTCTCGCTTGGCTTATTACGTTAACGGCTGGTATATCATTCCAAGTACTGCCATCTTAACAGTTAATTAACGATGCATACGGTTAGTTCATTTAGGACGTCTTTAACTAGTGCAAGTCACCAAAAGGATCGATGCACGTATCGGTATAGCGATAGTATCGGCATTAAGATTATCGCTATGTTACACAAAATGATCCTAGCTAACCCCTGCGCTACGAATTCCCAGGGTTACAAACTACCCCGTGACAATAATACGTACGTACGTACATATTGAGGATCCTTATTATACTCATTAAGAATTGTGATGTTTTTTATTGTAAGTAAATTAATTAACCAAATAAATACAGTACTTTGGTAAAGAATTTACTATATTAAAGTTTATTTTTTTGTAGAAGTCTTTTTTATTCAACCTTTTTAATAATTTTATCACTGTAAATAATACTAAGTCATTTAAACTTCATAGTCTCATAGCGCTAAAGAAATATCTATTTTTATGTCTCTAAATAGTACATTACGACTAAATAATTGCTATCCGCTCAAGGTTATAATATAGTAAGGAAAAGAAATAATAAAAGAATAAAATGAAATAAAAATAGTAATAAAAAAGGGACACCTATTTTCACCATGCCTTTCCCATGACTTATAGCTATAAATATGACAATTAAATTCTAATATGAGAATAGGCATCGCATGAAAAAAAATAAATAAAATAAACACAATTCTTTAAAAATACCACATAAACAATCAATGTTAGTCTTTATTGTTGCGTAAAAGATCATCTAAGCACTCAACTAGATCTGTTGTATCATAACGCGCATCTTTTGGCATTCCAACAAGTTTTAAAATTCCATCAACAACTATAAAAAATCGGAATGGCCATGGTGAATATAATTTTAAGAAAGTATCATTCATTGTGTCTGCTAGTACAGGAATTTCCAATTTGGTTTTTGTTGCCATCTCACGTGCAGCAGCCAAACGGTCAGATAATGTGTGATGCTCCTTGACATCGACAATGTTGCCAATAGGCCAAACATCAGAAGCATGTGCTTCTTTAATTTGAATCAAATAAAAATCTACATCCGCTTTATATCGATTATATATATCATTGAGCACATGAGATATGCATCGGTATAAAGGACAAGTATACGATCCACCCATAAGAACTAGAGGCCGCCCTGATTTACAAAGCGAACGTAAATGAACCAAATTTTTACTGTGATCAATTATTGACGTAAAAATTGAAGAATCTAATGGAACTAATGGACAATCAGGTGCTAACATTCCTTCAGTGAGATTTCCAATGTTGGCAACATTATTGCGAACATATACTTGAGTTGTACGAAATTCAGGATCATCTTGATGTGATGGGAAGAAAGCGATATTAAAATTAAATAACATTTACATAAACAAAAAGAGTACATTACTTACCTGGATAAAGTTGTGGTGCACGCCGTAACATTTGTACTGCTTCATCTGAATATCCGAATTCTCGAACCAACTCATGCTGCATCTGATCTGTAACATCCATCCAATCCTTTCCACTTGTAGGATCGCTCCCAACATCATAATATTTTTTTTGAATTTCAGGTGAAAATCTTCGCCGTTCTTCTTCGCGTAGCAGAGCTAATAATTTCTCTTTCGTGTCTGGTAGTATTGGGGTAACATAAGCAATAGAAGTATCTTTTGAAACATTCTTTGGGTCTAAGGGTTTCAATATTTTCAGAAAAGAATGTTGCGCGTTATGAATTAGGTCGGACATTGTGATACAATCAATGCACAAGTCATAATCAGAACATTCAGAACATTTATATCTGTAAATAGTGGAAAAATTATATATTAATGAATAAAATGGAATATCTCTTCAAGCTCATTAAATACAATGGATATTAACCTTGTCCCTTTCCATTCACGTTCACCACAATAATTACAGGCAATACCAGCATGAATTCCATTTTGTAAACGTTCTTCAGGCGTTAGAGTATATTGAGTGAGTGGTGGCAGTGCGTCAAATTCTATGCGACCACTGGTTTCCTGAAGCATTCCACCACGTAATCTAAGCACAAGATGAAGAGTAGACCCCCTTTGAAGATTATAGTCTGCAAAAGTTTTCCCATCTTCTAATTGCTTGCCAGCAAAAACAAGGTGTTGTTGATCAGGAGGGATTCCTTCCTTGTCCACAATCTTTTGTTTAAGTTCTTCAATGGTGTCATCAAATTCTAAATCAAAACTTATTGTCTTTCCCGTTAATGTTTTCACAAATATAATGCCAGCACCAGGTGATTCTTTGTCAGTACTGATTTTAATTACAAGATGAACAGTAGCCTCCTTTGGGATGAAATAATCTGATAAGGTACACCTATTTACTAATCGCTTGCCAGCAAAAAAGAGGCATTGTTGATCAGGAGAAATTCCTTCTTTGTCCTGGATCTTTTGTTTAACTTGTTCAATGGTATCATTCGAATCTACTTGCACAGTTATCGTTTTTTCGGGTAGTGTTTTCACATACAAAGAACCAGAAAATTGATTATAATGAAATAGTTTAAGTGTAGATTCATTCCTAATCCCATAATTTGCTAAGGTTTTAAGTGTGTTGTATTGAGATGTGATATCATAACGATGCATAATTCCGTTATTAATAGTAAAATATGTTATTTGATGAGAGGGAATGCCTTCTTTATCTTGGATCATACGAATAACCTGTTCGATGGTGTAACTTCTATTGACATCCAATTTTATGATTGTTTCATCCATTAATTTTACATAGATCATTATTGCTTCATATTCTAGATACAATGTAGAATCGTGCCTGATACTATAACGTGCCAAGAAATGGTCATCATACAATTCTTTATTAAAAACAAGATGTTGTTGGTCAGAGGGGATGCCTTCTTTATCCTGAATCATTTGCTTAACTTCTTTAACTGTGGCATATATCCTTGTATTTAATTCTATTGTTTTTTTGTTCATTATGTTCACATAGATTTTCATCAATTCTAGATAAAATACCCATTTTCAGGTATATTAGCATTGAACTTTTTCTTTAGTTGGTGTAAATGCAAACTCTGATTGAAAAAAAATTATTAAACTTTTTAAAGTAGCTACCTAATACATCGACTAAATCACCTTTCTAAATTAAAAACTATGATTCATTATCATTGTATACATATTTATTTTTTTTTCAACGATTTCTATATAATAGAATAGGCACATAAAATATTTACCTTGATACCCAACTTTTCAAGCGTATCAGCAGGCTGTATGTCCTTGCCATGATACACAAGCTTATAGGGATAGCTGCCGTTCAGTCTAATGCAATCTTGAAAACTCTTTAACAATAATTCTCCAGTCGTATGTATAGTCACCTTTGCCACATAGGTTGAACCCAGTGAATATTTAAAACCCTTATAGTTAAGGTTGATAGGAAAAATGGGAACGGAATCAAGCAAAGTGGTCAAGAGCATTTTGGGATATTATTTTTTGCAAAATGACTCTTATATTTGGAACCTGAATAGATAAATCCGGTAATTCGTATAGATGTTACACTTTCATGCAAAGTTCTGTTACAATAGAGTTATATTTAAATGAATAGGCTGCATTCTAATTTACGTTACACGATATCAATGAGATATTTAGAAGTTCTTCATACACCAAGAATATAAACACTCGAGCACTTAGGGCTCTGACATTTATTACCTAATATTCATTTACTATAGAGCTCTACCCCCTCCCCCCCAGGTAATATTTTTATTACCCAATTAAATTTTAGTATT